CTGCTACTAGAGCCATTTCATTCCTTGCTAAGTAGCGAAACACCAAAAGCAAACATTGTCTAACGAACACTCAAAAATACAATTGCTGTTTTCAAATGACTTCGTTTAGAGCGGAAATTCCAGAATAACACGTATTTACGGTCTTAACTTAGAAAACTCATGTTTTTCTCGTGATCAATTCAATGTACGTGGCATGTTCACGTGTTGGCAAATCATCCACTTTATTTGTTCTTGCGCCTGGTAAAAAAATGTCGTATGAAGAGAATTAAATCGAGCGCATTCCATGCTGCACAATATGTACCTACATATTTTAATTCAATCATGTCTTGCTGACACGCAATTGATTTTTATTATTTCTTTCTGTTTTAATAAAGTACTAAACTTGATATTTATTTTGTATTCATTGTATTACTTTTATAAAACCATAAATTAAGTTCAGCTAATATATAACACGACATTCATTCTTGTTTTTCAATGGGTGTTAATGAAATCGTAACTACGCTATTGGTATACACTGGCGGTGCACCAGTGAGGGATGATAAGTTAGAATGAAGCAGATCAATTAGCTCATCATGACGAATTTAACAATAAATCAATCACGATGCTTTCCAGGGGGAACCACGAGGAGGTCGAATATTGCTAGCAATGGAGCTACTAATCCCCATTACTAACAATCCTTTCTCCCCCCATTTCATTCACTGTTAGGTGGTACGAAATTCGCCGAGTTAGCTAGTAAATAATAAATAATAGAATTTATCAGGAATTAAGCATTATGACTAGAAGGAATTGCATGGAGATCGACTTGACAAAAATATATATAAATATTACTATAAATGGGGATACTAGTACTCGTTGCTAACAATTTTTCCCCTAAGTGTCTTTGTTGGCACAATAGGTAATCCATCTGAAGTTAATACAATTCACAAACTTTATATTTGAGTCTATGTATGTAGGTATATGGTAGGCGCGGCTAGGTCGCACATGAGAATTTAGTACATATTGCACGTGCATTTAACAATTTAGTGGCATATTAATCAATTTCAGTTTAAATCTGATAATGTTTATAGTGAATCTAAAAGTCTAAACAAGTTAGTTACTAATGTTCGTAACTATTTTTAACCATGATATGTGTACTTACCGGTCACTTGTATAAACACGTGGGTAAAAATTATTTGAGTTTATTTAATTCTTATTAACATTACATGTGATAGTTATTTTGTTTGTTTGTTATCTCTTGGCGTTTTAACGGCTTAATCAATCACTATGAAATTTGGTATACGGATATTATGTGGGTTGGATCACGCGTATGAAGTGGCGGGTAAAAGCTAGTATTACAATAATTATTTACCACTCCATAGTAAAAAGAATAATTAAAAACTAGACACGGATCAGATAGCATTGTTAGTACTAATCTAAAATCAAACACCGACAAGTCATTAAGTATCAGTAACAGGGACAGTCACTTTTCATCACGTCAATAAAATATTACACATATATTATATAGATATTTTCTAGAAAATATTTTTAATTTTATCTTATTTGCATGTGATCAATGTTTAAAAAAATAGAAAAATATATAAAAAAGACATGATTCCGGCCAGGATCGAACTGGCGGCCTTCTGCGTGTAAAGCAGATGTGATAACCACTACACCACGGAACCGATGCGTTCCTTTGTCGAAATATTTATTCTCAACATATTTGTTAAATCTAAATATATCAATATTAAATTAATATGAAACGTTGATAAATATTATTATAATATTAACACTTTTATACAGTTGTTATAGTTTATATATTATATATATTTTCTAATCTAAACTTCATACCGAAGTTGAATAAAATCTCGCTTTTATACCACATAAGAAATAAAGTTGAAATTGGAATATTATCTAGGAATTGAAATCATTGTTATTGTCATAGACATCACAAAGTGTTATTTGTTCGCCCAATATTGCAAAACATGGCATTCTATATAAAATAGGTAATTTGCAATATCAAATTAATAACTCTACCTATGCAAATAAATAATTGATTTATCAAGTATCACAGACCAGAGAGTAGATCAAAGCATAGATAATAATAATAATACTAAATATAGAACATAATATTGTTAATGCAGCTACGTATTAGCTGTACCCGCGACTTTGTCCACGTGACCAAATTAACATATTATGTAATTATGTTCTCTATGCCACATGACAAATGGTTGAGATAATAAGGTATTAGAAAGTAACAATTTCCTATCGTGGTGAAAGGGATTTTTAGTAATAGAGTCTAACAGTCCCATTGCTAGCAAAAAACTATATCAAGTTGGCCTTCACGGGGTTCCCCCTGAAATATACCTATATTGCTAGCAATAGGACTGATAGTCCGCGTTACTAACAATCTCCTCTTCCCTTCCCATCACAATAGCCCGACTGACTTGCTTCCATCTTCACCTATCATGTTTCACCCCACGGTGATACCCAGCCAGCGTATACCGATAGCAGGCCGGGTAACCATTCTATTCTCAACCATTAAAAAAAAATATTTTATACTACTTAGAATGGCAAAGAAATTGACGGCCCACCTGATGGAAAGTGGTAACCGTCGCCTATAGACATAAGCAGTACCATGGACATAACAGAGTATACTGTTTCGCCCATGATACCCCCATGCGTTGTCATTCCTGAGGACTCGGGTTTTATTCCTCTGTACCCTGTAAATTCCACGTGAAGTAGAAATGTAATGTATGCGTGTTATTATAAATGTGAATGCTTAAAAAAAAACTTTAACTACAATCAATATCATCACCTTATCAGCCGTTACTGCTGAACATATGCGTCTTTTTTAAGGGGGGGTTTCACCAATAGTTGCCACGTTTGGCAAGCAGGTTGACAACCACAGTTAAGCTTTGGTGATGTTTTAAGAGAGATGCTGCTGACCCAGGTAGCAAGTATTCGTCATATTGACGTCGATTTGCAGTCACTAACCTTAAAATGTTTTAAATCTGACGCCTTATTAGAGTTGCAGACGTAGACTACCTGGGGTCCATTTCTCGACAAATTAATATATGTACTTAGATATAAATAATACTATAAATATTAAAAATAGGTATATATAAAATTGGGTACATTTGTGTTTTGCAAATTAAGAGTTTCTTTTTCTTATTTGACACAAATATAAAACAAGCGTGTCAATTATATTATTATGAATAGTTGCAGTAATGTTATTCGCCGAATATGCTTTAAATGTAACTTTATATTGTTTTTCGTAAATATAAAATTTACTTATGCCATAGGTAAGGAAGAAATAAAAGTATTTATTACAATCAATACGAGTATACCGTGACTTCATCCACGGTAATTAGTATATAAAGTATCCTTTTTTTTATACAATTTAGAATGGCAAACAAGCTGACGGCCCACCTGATGGAAAGTGGTAACCGTCGCCTATAGACATGAGCAGTACCATGAACATTATAGAGTATACTGTTTCGCCCATGTTACCCTCCATGCGTTGCCATTCCTGTCGACTCAGGTGTTATTCCTCTGTACCCAGTAAATTCACACCATATCCCACCCTTCAAACCGAAACACAGCCATGCAAACACAACTGCTTTACGGTTGAAACACGAATGGGACAGAGGTACCCAAGCAATCGACTTTTGTACAAAGTCTCCCTCTGGTAATAAGGAACACATGTAAAAATAAATCTAAATTAAAAATTTAACTCTAAAATAATAACCCTAATAGTGGTATACAGTTCCATTAACTTCAATTTGCTTATTTTTAATTTGTTGTTTACAAAATTATCTCTATATTAGAATCACATCCGTCTACAAATAAAATGTCAATAAAAAAGTTATTAAAAAACAATTCTGTGTTTGTTTACAACATTAATAATATATCCTAATTGAAATGGCTCTAATTACTATATATAATATTTGGGCACAACCTACGCCCTCTCCCTTCACTTCCCCAATAATATACCCATATGACTGCGCTCAAGATAATATAATATATGCCAGTAGCTGCCACACTGAAAATGGATTCACTACCGTAGATAGGCTTAGATGATATTTTAAAAGGGATGCTGCTACCCATCCCTCAACCATTGGGTTCCCCTTGTCACCTCTCGTTCCCACCTTGTCACGACACCCACGGCAAAGGAAGGGGTGGCCTATTCTATTCTGGGACCATACGACCGTACATATAATTACATATATATTACACCATTATTCCAAGTCATTCCATTTTACGTTGTACCTACTTCATAATAACTCATTTCAAAACTGTACTATTAAAGTAGTACTTCCTGTATTATTAACGGACATTGAACTTGTTAGTATATGCTAAATTTGGTGTTGTTCGCGACTTCGGCACCGCGGAACGTGCTGTCTACAACCACTCATTATTTCAATGACGAATCCGAAAATTGGCCCAAAATTTCGAGTTTTACTTTTAAGTTCAGAGAGAAGAGGAAAGGAATGGCGTGTTACATGTTACCTTTTCGTTCTCTGCTATCATTCCTCAATAGTGCTGCACCAGCACATACCGTTAATGCAGGCAGGGCTACCATTCTATTATAACCCATTAAAAAAACTATGATGTCCATTGAATCATCAGTTGATAGTAGTGATATAATATTATCTGTGGTCAATAGAGACTTTTTGTTTCTGCCTACCAAAATATATTTAAGATTTAATATATCGTAATCCATATTTCAAACTTTGCTTGGAACAATAATTTGATATATTTTACTAATATAATAAAATTGTAACAAGACGATGTCTGTAAGTATATACAAGTAATGTACATAGGAGATGTGTAAGAAAAAAATATATGAGGGATCTGAATAATCCCTCAACACTTCTACTTTGGAATTCAGTGGATTCCAGTGGAAAGCGCATGGAGGTTGACCTAGTAAAGTTTATTGCTAGCTACATATGCGATTATGCACTGTTAGCAGAAAACACACTACTAGCGCCATCTATTATTTAGTAACTGCATTTTTTCAGTATTACTAGAGAAGCTGTTAAGATCTTGCGGTGACGTCGATACAATCTATGTATTAATTCGAAGCAAGAAAGGAAAAGATCCCAGAGTACGACTGCATGAAATGCTGGATGACTTGGTAAGTAATGTTGAAATATATCTATCCACAGAGTATAATACTGGGGCCACTTTTTCATTTTCATCTATTAATAATAATGTATGATGACAACTGACTAAATAAAATATATGGAAATCCCTAAAAATAATAAAAATAGTTTTTATCACTTTTAAGTCTTTAAATAAATAAATTGTTTAAATTTATAGTTTATTATTAACATTGAAAAAAAATCACTTCACATATTTAATGCATATTTCTTTGTCTCATTTATTATTATATAATTACTAGCTGACCCCGTAAACGTTGTTTTACCACATATTGCGAAATATAAAAATCACGATTAAAAAACAGGAGTTGATCGTAAAACGGTAAAAATTTGAGGTTGTATGTAGTTTTCAATGCTAAATCATAATAAAATAAAAATGGAAAAATTTGTCAAAAAAATTAAAAAAAAAATTTGGGGAGGGTCACCCTTATCATTGAGGGGTCTAAAAAATAGATGTTGGCCGATTCTCAGACCTACCCAATATGCACACAAAATTTCATAAAAATCGATAAAGCCGTTTCGGAGGAGTTTGGTAACAAACACCGCGACACGAGAATTTTATATATAAGATTACAGATCTACAACATGATTTTTTAAACTCCGAGTAGTTATTCTGATAAATGTATTATTTCGATTTCAGCTATTCTTTCGAGCTCATGAAGAAAATCCTAAAGGCATTCATAAAGTTATACCCATAGACGGCGACATGGCGTTACCTGGACTTGGCATTAGTGAAGAAGATAGAAAAACTATCACTAGCAAGGTAAAACTAGAAGATATGCAAAACCTCTATGTCTCCTTATTAAAAATATCAAAAAAACTTACTGCCAACTTGATGGAAAAATGGTGCCTAACATGACATAAATAATATAATAGCACACTAATTATAGATACACTTGCAAAGGCTGTCTTATTACATAAAGCAATGCAACGAAAGAACACAAAACTCTAAAAATTATGGACTCTCAGGATAACGGAAACGCTAGAAATAAGGCGTTTTGTTTAAATGCTGTTTTTTTTTAACAACTACCTAACTGTTTACCGTTATCTAGCCAGCACAAGTGTTTTCAGCAATTAAAAATAATTTCTTAATCAAAGAAACAAATACAGTGTTATATATGGACCTGCCTATGTTATAGAAGGAGCTTGAATCAAAATTCAAACTATAGAACGGTCATACATTAAGACAATACAATTACTTAATATCTACCTATACATTTTTACAACTGTTACTTTTCCACAGATAACAATCATAATAAATGCAGCAGCTACAGTTAAATTTGATGAAAAGTTATCAATATCTACTGCTATTAACGTTAAGGGAACTAAAGAGGTTATCAAACTGGCCAAAGAGTGCAGAAACTTGAAAGCCATCACGCACGTATCTACGGCATTTTCTAACACGCATGTCGATTATATTGAAGAGAAGTGAGTATTACTTACTAATAAACGGTTAGTAAAAAAAAGTTTGCCTAATAACTTTTTTGTGTTGCTATGTTTATGTGCTAATAAACTGTAATTTAATGAAAAAGTAAAAAAGTGCTACTGATCTTGACATAGAATGTGAACTGAAATAAATTTTATATTAACACAAAGATTTCAAATTAGATATTTGGGGTCAGATATAAACCAGATCATCGACAATCATTTAAAAATTGGGTATATAAATTGGTAGGTTTATAATTTTTTAATAATATAACGCTCATTTCAAAATTCAATTAACAAATAAATATTAAGCATAATTTATACAAAATAATTACAGATTCTACGAACCGCCTATGTCTGTCGAAGCATTAAAAGCTGTATCAGAGTTGGATGATGACCTTATAGATGCCATTTTACCTACGTAAGTACACAAAATAGAGAAATTTCGATATCGCGCATACCAGTTCTTTTTGATGGGTGAAAATTGTATGGTAACCCCGCCTGCGCTAACGGGATACGCTGGCGGAGCACCAGTGAAGGGTGATAGATGTGAATGAAAACAGGCCAGTTAGCCCATCACGATGAATTCATCAGGAATTAACCATGATAGTTTCCAGGGAAAACCGCGAGGAGGTCGACCTGGTTGGGTATATTGGTAGCAATAGGGTTCTTAGTCTCCATTACTGACAATTCCTTTCCCCCCGCGCATACCAGTTAGATATCTATATGTATATTTATTTCAATCGGATGTTTCATTTCAATATTACATATTGAATAACAGATATTTAATATCTTCTTTATTGGAACAACATGTAGACATGATTATATTATGACTTATGTAGGGTAGGTGTAGCTTATGGTGGATGGATGGGCAGCAGCGTCCCTCTTAAAACATCTGTAAAAGTTTAACTGCGGTTGCCAAACCTACCAAGCGTGGCAACTATTGACGAAACTCTCCTTATGGGAAGACTTATGTTCAACAGTGAACAGTTAACGGCTGAAATAATAATAATAATAAATAAAGACATTGTAATTGCAATATACAGGCTATAGATACAATTAAACTCAATTACATTAAGCAGTTTGTACAATAATGGACTTTGAAAAGTTTATGAAACTGTTCCAAGAATGTAACATAAGCTTGAGACTAGTCATAAAAGTGGACGAAGTAAATCTTAAAGAAGCAGGGGCAGTCAGTATTTGACATTTCAATGCACAAATGCGAAAGTGATAGCTAATCTTTGCCTGAAGATATAAAAAGCATCATGGGCAAAATACACTACATCGCCTGGTATCGCTCATTCGTTGCTATTTGTTAAGACTTAGTCTCCATAACAGGCACTCGAGTTTTCTCACCTTTCAAATATTCAAATTTAATTTTTTTTTTTTATAAATATTTTACTTCTTTTTTGTAGAACAAAAGCTTAAATTACTTGTATCACATTTGCAGCGTTCTCGGTAATCGTCCGAATACATATTGCTTCACCAAAGCAATTGCGGAAGAAGCTGTCAGAAAAGATGGCGAAGGAATGCCCATCTGTATTGTTAGACCATCTATAGGTGAGCAAATAATTATAATTGACGTATTTTTTTTTTATTAATATTACTACTAAACAAGAATAACTATTGCATCTTAGAATGTGTTATTGTTTTTGTATTGGACATTGGGTTGGATATTTACCATAAATCACTTTATACAGTTTTCTACCATATAGTCTTGACATAAAATGGGCCACTCCTTCCTTTACCGTGTGTATAGTATAAGACGACTAAGGGAACTTAATAGTGGAGGGATGGGCAGCAACGTCCCTTGTAAAACATTTGCAAAGCTTAATTGCGGTTGCCAACTCGCCTACCAAGTGTGGCAATTATTGGCAAAACATCTCTTTATGGAGGAGGCCTATGTTTAGCAGTGGACAGTTAACGGCTGATATGATGATAGTACAGACTACCTTGAATATAACTAGTAACTTCGCCATAAATGTTTATAATATTTTGATAGTTACTAAATATAAAAGATGTACCGAAAAGAGTCCTATACTTTTCGAAAGTATAATTAACTCCTAGAAATAAAAAAATAGTTTGAAACTGAGATATCAGTTAATGGATCTCCATTCTTCTATCTCTATTTCACGCCATTGGTATTAATTTTATTTATCTTTTATTATCTATTATTCTTTACAGTTCTATCGACATATGAAGAACCTTTTCGCGGTTGGACTGATAGTATTTACGGACCCACTGGTCTCATTATTGGCACTGGTACTGGGGTAAGTTTTCATCATTGTTTTCGAAAGCATCTACTATCAGGCATGCAAATAATCTGATAGGAGATTTTTCCAATCTCTCAAATCAAACTGGATCCACTTTCATTCATGGAGAGATTGGAAAAATTCGGGTTCTTCTCATTGTTGTCACGAAACATTACTAGGATTATTATTAAAATTTTAAAATACTCAAATTAATATTTTTTCCAGCAACTCCAAAAAAATATTTAATTACTATCCTTTGTTTGTACCCCGTGAACTCAGATATAAACCGAAGCAGGGATCATAGAGAAATATAACTTCCAGTATAATATTTATGCCTCTCGGTGTCGGTATATTATAAATTGCTTTTATTACTGTTTATAGGTCCTTCGAACTATGTATATAGATATGAACAAAGTAGCTGATATGGTCCCTGTGGATCTGACAGTCAATGCAATACTCGCATCAGCCTGGTACACAGCCAAAAACTTTAAAGAAAAGTAAGTAAATTATTTTTTTATGAATACAAAATTATTGCATGAACTACTTATAATACTTAAGAAGATTAATTATAATACTCATGAATAAATAAATTAAATAATAAAAAATATTAATCGTATGTATCTGTTATTTATAAACTAATATATTAAATATTACAGCCAAACCTCAGATATTCCGATATACAACTTCGTTTCTGGCGCCCAAAATCCGTGCACATGGGGAACATTTGTTGAGTTGAATAGAAAATATGGACTTGATATACCTACCATCAAAGCTGTGTGGTAAGTTGTTGATATCTCCTATTGTAATTTGTTTTTAGCTTAGAATATAAATTTAGCTTTGTAAATTTTTACGAGATATTTAAGTTTCAAAAGATTTATATTTTTTTATACTTCTTAGAATTGTAAACAGATTATGACAAGATGTTAATAAACTATTACTTCACCTGTAGAATCATCAACATTACAGAATAGTTTGCGACGCCCATAATGTTTTACAATAAGGAAATTCTAGAAAAACATTTACAATTGCGTTTCTGCTTAAAGAAATTACTCTTTATATAGCACTAAAATTAAGAGTTAATCTGGCAATTTCAGACCACAGTAATGAGTAATGGCAACACGTGAGATGTGCCTTAATGGCCATAATTTAGTCTTAGGCACCTCTGCCTCATTCGTGTATCTGAGATGAGACAGTTGTTTTTGCATGGTTGTGTTTAGGTTTGAAGGGCGAATGACAACGAAACTACAGAGAGGGGCATAAAAATATACTCGTAGACCTCAGAAATGGCAACTCATGAAAGGTATCATGAGCGACACAGTGTACTCTGTTATGTGTGTGTACTGTTTATGTCTATAGGCGATAGTTACCACTTTTCAGTATGTAGACAGTTAACTTTCCATCAGAATAGCCGTCAGCTTGTTTACCATAAGTTGCATAAAATGTGTTATCATTCCTTTAGGCCTATGTAGGTTTAATCGCTGAGTTACAAAGGCGGCGGAGGTCATGGAATTATTCCATTTTTCTTTCTTTCAGGTACTATGGCCTTACTGCAACAAATAATTATTATATGTTCTTGTTTTACAACTTCTTTTTACATTATATACCAGCGCTATTGATCGATGCTTATAACGTGTTGAGAGGAAGGCAACGTGTGTAAGTTTTTATTTTTATTTAAACAAAATTGTCCTTTCTAAGAGAAACTTTGTACAGAATATATTGAATGCATAGATGAATAACTCTCATATATTTGCCTATATTGTGGGTTGAATGAACTGTTTAATATTTAATTATGAAAGTATTAGTATGGGATAACAAAATGACTAAAAACTTACAAAGGCATAACACCTTTTTGCTTGTCTTTAGAAAAGACAACATATCGTCACGTAGTTATGGGTTTTTATTTAATTCTTAAGGGCTTTTACCTACTTCAGGTATATTAGCTCTATCGTACCCTGAATTGATTTCTCTGATAAAATTTTATCTACTTTATCTACTCACGGAAAGAGAGGAATTAATAGGCATTAATAATATACAGAGACGTTCAAAATTTTCTGATTTGAGTTCAGGTAATATAGACTGAATAAAACCAATATTTAATTTATTTGCACATCATTTTTGGTATAACAAACTTGACAATAAGGAGACCAAGAAGATAAGACAGGTTGATGGAAAAATATGAAAATTTATACTTTACTCAAACCTTTGGATGTTTATTTATCATGTAATAGAAAAAATAGAACTGATTGTGACGCAATTTTTACAGTATATTAAATTAATTATACGTCAGCCTTATAGGCTATAGAAAGTTTGGAATCTTTCTTATTGAAAGACTTAAATTGTCATGAAATAAAAGAATATTTAATTAAACTCGCGTTTACATTTTCAGAATGTTAAAATTCTACTCGAAAATCATGAAAATGACAAAGATATTATTCTATTTCTCAACACAGCAATGGAAATTTAATGATGAAGGCGTAAAAAATATGTGGAATGCACTATCTGAGGAAGATAAAGTCGTATTTCCATTTTCTATAGGAGAAATGTCGTGGGATAGACTCTGTGAGAAATTTTTGCTTGGTGAGTAAATTTTTATCAAAATATAGTTTTGATAGGTATCATATTGTATCAGCCGTTAACAATCCACTGCTGAACATAGGCTTTCTCAAAAAGGGGGGTCTTTGCCAGTAGTTGTCTCAGGTGGTGTTTAATGAGTGACTCTGCTGACCATCCATTAAGTTTCCTTAGTCGCCTCTTACATCATCCACGAGAAAGGAAGGCGTAGCCCATTCTATGCCGGGACCATATGGCACATAGATTAGGCACTTAGATAGTCAGTTTCAGTAGAATTTAATGAAAATATATTCCTCAATTCGGTTGTATTTTTTTGTTTGTTGTCTCATAACTCCATAACTCAAAAATTCTTTTTCAACTGACTTCCAACAAAAGATAAAACAAACATAAAACTAAAAATAGAACTGAATTATGAATTCGTTTTTAATATTTCTAACTTTATAATTATTTAGTTTCAAAACTTACTTTAGAAAGTTCTTTTTATCTGCCAGGATATGCTTACAGATTAGTCCCAAGAAATTTTAACAAAATCGGTTAATTTAGTTTTTAAATCGAAATAACTAGTTTTAGCAAACCTGTTTTTTTTTTGTGGAACACAATCTTAAATTATTTATTTATCTGAAAGAATATATATTTACACTAATACCATTAAAATTTTAGCAAAATTGATATCGTCATTTAGTTTTTAAATCAAAACAACTGGTTTAGCCACAAGTAAATTTTTAATTTATAGAAAACCTTAAAAAGATTGTAAACTTAAAAAGGTGAACAGACGAAATCCGAAACAACGTAATTACTTAGGCCGAGCCTTACCTACGTATACCTACTTATACCATGGACACAGATAATATAGTATCATAGAGGAAGCGAAAACTATAGAGGAAGCGAAATTTGTTTCTATTCCGTGAAATGAAGATGAATTGTTTCATCGTTGTTATCACGATCATAGGCCTTCCCCGTAGACTAGGGTAAGGGATTTAGGATTCACTATTGCTATATCTGGCTAGTACGTCATTATATTCCGTAATGAAATTATTATACAAATTCCGAATACTCGTAGTATTAATAAACCAATTTTATTTTAACTTTCGTGAATTCCAATAAAACAATGCTATTATTTATTTGCACACCACTACATTACCTACATAATGTTTATCATAATTTTTAGGTCTGCGTGTCTACATTGTTAAAGACGATTTATCAACTTTGCCGGAGGCGAGGAAGAGGTGGAACAGGTAATCAAGTTTTACCCTCTCAATCTAATATTTAAAAAAAGTATGTTTTTTTCATAATACAAAAGAGGCAAACAAGCATACAGCCTGTTTGATAGTAAAACGTTAGCAGCCTATGGACACTAGCAACACCAAGGATGTCACGTGCATGTTGCCGACCCTGAAGAAACCTTAATACACCCTTTTAATCCCATACATACTGAGAACATTCCTACTTGCAAAGAAAAATGGTAGTTTCAATCTTTCCAACATTAATATTTTGCTTTTACAATTTAAGCTTAAATTCTGTGGTTTTTGTTTATTATATTTATATATTCTTTAAAGTTACTTAAGGGAAATTAGATATGTAAAAGTGTATGTAAAAAAAAGTGATTTTTTTTACATACACTTTTACACAGGATTTTTCTAACATGGAGGCCAAACACACTAAGAATCAATAAGAATTCTAAATATGGATGTCGTATAATGCATTTGTTTTTCTGTTGAATAAATTATTATTTATTATCTTACCTTATACTCATTAAATCATTACGATTATCATGTACTAACAGACTATATTTACAAACACGATACTGTTTCAAAGGTTAGCATAAGTAACTGTGTAGCTTTTCCCGCTTGTATTACGAGTACAATAAAAAAGTTTCTATCCTACAAATTAAAAATAGAATCAATAAGCGAATTTTCTTTATTACCTAACCTTTTTAAATTTTGTTCATTACTTAACCCTATTAATTTCAAAAATTATTGTGATACTTGGTTTAAAATAATGACCTCATCCATTCTCCTTCTTTTGAAAATCGCTTGTAAATATAATTCTGATAGATAACAATGCCTTAGTTTTCTTTTAATTAAAGTGTATTCTTGCTAATGTTATAAACATGGAAGTAAGTTTGTTACGTCTTAGTGTCTTAATCGAGCATTATTACATTTGGTATATACGTACTATTTGGGATGGAAAAGGACATTGACTACTTTTGTCCCTTCCAGTGAATACGATCACGCGAACGATGTCGCGGGGAAACTAGTAATTGTTAAAACTATTTTTTTTTCTTTCAGATTGTTCGTGTTTCATCAAATGCTCAAGTTCGGCACCTTTTTAATCCTCGTGACCTTCACCTATCTATTATTGAAGCCCATTATATCAGTGTTCTTCAGTTGAATTACAATTCACCAAACTTCTGTATATTCTTAGTTACAGTAATTATCGATAGATACGGGTTCTTGAGTCCTGTCAGAAGCTTTTAAATTATTTCGATTAAATATGCTAATATATATGTATATGTACATATATATTAGCGTATTTAATTGAAATATATAGTGATAATTTAAACATTTTCCATTTAAATATAGTAAAAAAATATGTACAAAACTTTTTATAATAATTTCTTTTATATACAATTAAATAAAAAAGTGATTAACAAAGCAGATAAGCAAGAATTACGCTGTTTACATATACGATTATTTTTTTATATTTCTAAATTACGCAATAAGTTTATTTGGGAAATGTAACTTATCCATGAAAAATAGTAAAGTAAAAAAAGTATTGTAATTTTCAACTTTTTTTTTCCACGGGCTCTTGGTATTGTTGTTGGGATATGGATCTATTATGGTTGTTAGATTAATATAAAAATATGTATAAATGATGATATTGTCAAAATGATTATGGAAAGGTCTTGGTGGCCCCAAATTTGTCATAAGACAAATAACTGCGTGTAAAATTATGTTTCTATATTATGATTATGTAGATACATTTTTTAGTTATTATAAGCAACGTTTATAAATAAAGTAATTAATTTACATTTAATAGTTTCATTTATATAACACATGGGAGATACAATGAACGTCATACACTATAGGTCTGTTCATGATATTTTTCATAAAAGTATAGAAGGTACAAGGTAAAGCGTCTTTTATTTGTACTTGAAATGTGCAAAAAAAGTACCCAGGATGCTATTGTTTATCAAAGAAATGGAAAAAAAATGATAAATGCTACTATTGCATAGCTGTTTAAATTTGTGTCTTTGCTCCTCTGATTAATTAAAAAAATATTTATATTTTGTCTGAATTTCTGATTGTTAAAAGTAAAACAAGCTTGTTGATAATAAAATAAGCAGATAAATTATAATATTACACAGCTGTTTTAGTTTATACCAAAGATTTTGCCTTGTTCTTAGGTTTATGCTATTGGTCTAGTGATATTTTTTTTTATTTTTTCTATTATACTAGTATTTAGTGGATACTCTCCTTAATCCTTAATCTATGGTGCTCTACGACATATCTGTGAGTAATATCATTTTGTCTATGACTATCTATGTAGGTAGTTTAAACCTAAGAACAAGGTCTAACCAGACATATCTATTGAATGATAAGTAATTTATTTGATAGGTACAATTGGATGTTTGATGACAAATTAGTTAACTATATATAAATATTTTCATTATATTGATAAAAAGAATTTTATTCCAAAATGTATCGCACAGCAATTTTTCCAAAGTATGCTACATTTTATCCACATACGAAGGCTGCTCATCTTTCATAATAAATGAACAAAGAAAATATACGCAAAAGACATACAAAAAAGTTACTCATTGCTTATTTGATTTAGATGGGACCGTTCTTGGTATGTACCTGTAATTTATTCATTTATATAATTAGCAAGACAGCGAAGTATTTCAATACAATATACTAGTGGATTAGATCTAATTGTTCTTACATTTAGAGCAATATAATAGAATGTTCTGATATAATATTTTTTATTAAAAAACAAATACCTACTTATTTCTAAGTCAAAATATGAACCATTGCCTTACAGACAGAATAAGATAAGAATTAAAAATGAGCTTAATGTTATAAGATATTGCTCATATCTTTAGAAAATTAACAAAACCTACATTACAGATAGAACTTTCGACACAAATAACGATAAATAACTTTTATATCATTGCAGTAAGTAGACTGTGATAATAAATTTCTTCTCTTTCTATATCTAGGATTCATATAGATTGTTTCTTGGAAAAGCAATAAGTTCATAAAAGGAGATGTCAAAGTGGATATTTGTTAAAATAGGGGCATTTCGCATATTTCTGTTAGTCTATTAAGAGATCTAGCATGACGTAGTGAGTGCAGGGTCATTATATTTACAATAATCATGAAACGACTAAAAAACAAGCAAACTGCCTTTAATGACTAATTTTAAACCTTGATAGAACCACTGAAAATGCATTACGATACACCCATGAGCACTATCATTGTGCCTTATGACTCGCGACTTCAAAGCTCTATAACATTTTCTTCATTACAGATTCAGAAGTTATTTATCATAAAATAATTAAACAAATATGTAATAAATACGGTAAAAAATATACGAAGGAACTAGAAATAAAGGTATTTATCTTCAGATTTCTCGTAGTTATGTATAATTACAACAGCGATGGTGTGCTTGCATGCCCGCTATGTCCAAGAATCTTTACTAAAAAGGTTGGTTATATAAATCACATCGGAGCACACCAACGCCAACAACAGATAATCTAATAGCCCCTAATGCAGACAATTAATAATAATGGGATCAAAACGGTTGTCGTGACCAAAAACGGTCAAGAGTCATCGTCATATCATATACGTGTACATATAGACTACTTATTATGCTTAATTTGATCATAGACATTGGCGTACTTAAGGTTATATTCAGGGGTGGGCTTGACGCCTTAAAAAAGATGAATATACCAGACTTGTCTCTGTGTGCAGCTGAAAAACTAGCTGTTATTCTGGGGTAGGCACAGCCTACCCAAATCTCCCTTAAATATGTCCATGATTAGATATCTAAAGAGAATATATAGATAGATATCTAAAGAGAATGTGAAAGCTAATTTTATGGTTTAAGAGGTGACTTACCTCTAGTAGCAACAATAAAGCATAAGCAATGCTACAGCATGTTATTACCTTATTACATTCTTACAGTATCTACACTCCTGTAAGAACTTACTTACCTGTACTTACTTGTATTGTACCTGTACTTTACTTAATGAACTTACTTACCTACATATGAGTGCCCGGAATATCTATATTCATTTATCGAGTTCGAAATCAGGGTTTTCATGAACTATGGATTTTTTTAAAAAAAGACAACTACAAGTATATACAGCCAACAGCAAAGTAGATGCTCTCTGGTTTATTTGTTGAATAGTGTATTTGATATATTTTTTAAGTTGTATTTCAAATGTTAAGATTTATATACAAACATACTAAAGTGAATAAAGGATTACTTACTTACCTATAAAATGTAATTTTTTACACTATATTAAGCTGCAGTCATATATTTTAAAGATGTATGGCGAAACCGATCGGGAGATATGTCTGACCGTGGTCAAACAACTAAAATTACCGATATCTGCTGATGAATTTGAACTACAATTACATTATTTGGCTCTAAAGCTATTACCCGGTGCGCCGCTTCAGAAAGGTAACCTATTTGAAGTTTACAACTTCAATAGTGTTTCAAATTCATAATTTGTATTATTTTTATGTAGCATACAAACAAACTGACGTAGCACCTGAAGGAAAGTGGTAACCATCGCCAAAAGACATGAACAATACAAGTACATCGCAAATACTCTGTGACTGTAACCGTCATGTATTTTTTTTTTTTTTGATGGGTGAAAGTGGAATGGTAACCCCGCCTGCGCTAACGGGATACGCTGGCGGGGCACCAGTGAAGGGTGATAGATGAGAATGAAAACAGGCCAGTTAGCCCATCATGATGAAATCATCAGGAATTAACCATGATAGTTTCCAGGGGGAACCGCGAGTAGGTCGACCTGGTTGGGTATATTGCTAGCAATGGAATCTCAGTCTCCATTACTAACAATCCCTTTCCCCCCACCGTCATGTATTACCATTCCTAAGAACTATAGTTTTTTTTTAGGTGATAATAAAATAGTAATCCCACCCGCGCTAGCGGTATACACCGGCGGGGTACCAGTGAATGAATGAATGAATGAATGGTTTATTTTCTCTTCACAAAAGGTGGAATAAAGTAACAACATGAGGTACAATTTGAAATGAAGACCAGTTTTGTGAGAGACTGGTGCTTGCGGTAGGTTTAGAAGAACCTGTGTTACAAGTCACCAGTGCCCCATCTCCATGGACTACACAAATACAAGGCAACCAATTAAATTAAAAAAGTGAAGGATGATAGATGACAATGAAACAGATCAGTTAGCCCATCGTAACGAATTCAACGAAAATTGTTTACGATGGTTTCCAGGGGGAACCACGTGGAGGTCGACCTGATAGGGCATATTGCTAGCAATGAGGCTGTCAAACTCCATTGCTAACGATCCCTTTCATCCCCAAACTACAGAGTTATGCTTCCATACCCCATAAACTTTCTCTGCTACATACACGTTTCACTGCTATATAATACAGTTACGGTAGATACACAAGTGGGTTAGAGATATTCAACATCTTCCTCTGGTAAATAAGAAATTTTACACACAAAACTTTCAGCCGTAGGTAATTCCTTTTTTCAGGTGCCGAACGTCTATTAAATCATCTTCACGATTGTAAAATACCAATGGCTCTAGCGACCAATTCTACTGAGCAAGCTGTTAGATTGCATGCTACTATTCGACCCAAACTATTTGGCATGTTTCACCATAAGGTAATGTTTAAAGCACCAAAAAATAAGTTAGGATTTTGCTTTAAAGATTATCGTGCTACAGTGATAACCACGTTCTTAATATAAGAAACTTTTGTAGATTGGCCCGGGTTTGGATCTTCTAATTTGTTGTTTTTCATAAACAAATTGCAGGTGTCCTCAATTGTGTCCTAAGTATTCCCATATTTCATTAGATTATTGGATTTTCAGGTAAGCGTGACCGATCCAGAAGTGGACAGGGGCAAACCAAATCCAGATATATACCTCGTCGCTGCTTCGAGGTTCCGTGAAAAGCCTAAACCAATTCAAGTAACTAATAATACCTACTGTATTCTTGCACACCAGCTATTGCGAGCAACTTCATAGATAAGCGTGGATTTTGGAAATAGGCTACGTTTTCTAGAAAATTTATCTAAACCTAGACCAGATTTTAAGTTAGACCTTCAAGAGCTTGCATCTTGCATTCAACTTGATGCAGTCGTTTCCGCGTGATGCCGAAATAAACATACAAAGTTTAATAAATTATTGTTTTGACATCTTTTGCACTTACACGCACGTACACATACGCTACAAATTACCAAAAATGTATATATAAGTATGCATACATTTTTAAATAGGGCATAATCATTTCTTCAAGCAAACAGACCATTGAGGTCTGTTTGCTTTGTAATACTTACGATTATTCTAAAGGTGCAATTAAAAATAAAGTATTTTTTTTTTTATTATAGAAGAAATAAATGCAAGATATAGTAAATTGGTATTGCAGGCGTCCACAGGCTACGGTAATCGCTTACCATCAGGTGGGCCGTATGCTTGTTCGCCACCTCAGTCGTATAAAAAAAAATCATTTTATATTTTTTCCCCTATTTTAAGTGTCTTGTCTTCGAGGACTCCGCAATTGGAGTCGAAGCTGCAAAAGAAGCTGGCATGCAGGTATGATGTATTGTTGAGATAAGTATAAACAAGTACACCTATATATGTCATTTCAAAATAGGCAAAAATTTTATAATATCCGCGCCAATGCTATTGGTTTCGCTGACGGAATAGCCGTGAGGAATGATAGGTGAGAATCAAGTCAGTAGACTCATCGTTACGTATTCAACAAGAATTAACCGCCATAATTTCCAAAAAGGACTGCAAAGTTAACCAGATAGGTTATAATGCTAGCAATGAGCTATTCCTACTCGTTGATCAAAAATTATAGAAAGTTTAAAACCTCTTAAGTATCTTAAAAAAAGCAACGTAACGTAAGTGGGTAATATTGAAATTTATTAATTTTTAACAGGTTGTAATGATACCTGATTCGCGTCTGGGCCGCGAACAAACCCGAATAGCAACACTAGTTATACGCTCACTATTGGATTTCAAGCCGGAATTATTTGGCTTGCCTCCTTTTGATAATATTCCTAAAAGGAACAGTAGGATCTAATAAGAGACCAATAATATAACGCCCTTTTACTAAACAAATATCTCAAAGTTGCAATCTACTCTCCTGTTAAATTTTAATCTTTTCAGCAATATTGTAATTAGTAAAATTGTCATACGAATATATTATACAGTAGTAAGTTCTCATATATTAAAAATAAGACAAATTTAATTGGAAAATATTGTTTTTTTTTTTCATATTGGTAGTCATGACCCCAAAGATCGACTCGATTGGATACCAATTTAGTCTGTAAACCCATTTACGAGAGAAGGAATTTAAATTTGATAAATGTGAACTACTATAAAACGGAGCGTTAAGAGATTTTATATTACTGAATAATAGGTACCATATCTAAATTGTTTGGTTGGATTAATTTATAGACCATACATAAGTATTAGATGTTATTATGTTCGCGCCAACCACACAATACATAGTCCAAAATTAACAAGTTGAATATTTATATACTTTTTGTTTAAATCACGTTACTGCTATCTACTTATTTAGGATTATTAGAATTAAAACAATTTTATGGGTGTTTAAGATTATTATTTGTAAATACAGATATATCTATACATTTATAACTAATTGTGAACACAATTTTTTTTTTAAACTAATACTAAATGTTGCCTTATACAACGGACGACAAAAATCAATACGTGTTTACATCAATTTATAATCGAAACTTTAAAAATGTGTATATGAAAATGTTAAACCCAGGATGCATTATCATTTTAGAAATCAAAATTTTGTTTTTAAGGAAAATGGGTTAATAAATATAACAAAATATTTGACAAAATCAAGGAATATTGTGATAGCATCATACCTATTTAAAAAAAATATATGAAATGCTTCTCTTCTCTAAAATGAAAAGGTCCTTGGATTACTCTAATAAATTAGTATTAAAAAAATTTCAACACATGTTGAATTTTGTCATGTCTATAAAATATTTACAAAATATTTCATCGAACACATGGAAAACATAGTTGAAGTGCTAAAAGATAATCTCCATATCAAATATGACAGTATGAAAAAAACACGTGACACAGATCTCTTTTAAATATGATTTTGTGTTTATTAGATATATATTAAAGATTAGTCTTAAAATTTGTCTTTTGTGATGTATCAGCCATACTGTCGTATTTGAGACAGGGTATATTAATTCTAATAATAACGGACGTCTACAGAAAGTCATGAAGTTTACAATGAAAGTATGATTATTTACGACGAATTTGTACATAACATTTATACATACTTACAATTTTAGAGATACCTTCCATTGACTTTGGTAGAAAAAAAATCAATATTAGAAACTAAATAATGAAACAGTTCAAATTTAATTGAATTAAAAAAACAAAACAGAATTTAAACAGTAAAATAGAATTTTAACACAATAAAATAAACAATGATCATAAGTTACGGTTTCAGCAATTTTTTCTAATTTATTGTTTATATCTTATTTAAGTTTGACTTTATTAATGGGGTCGATTCTGAGGATTCATTTCTCTAAACCTCTTAAATTAAAATTTTAATTTAATATTACAATGAAATCGTTATTCTAATTCAATATGAACTAAATTTTTAATATATTTAAATCAAATATACTATAAATTTAGTATAAAGGGTTTATACATATGGTTTATATATTAAATTCAAAAAAGATAATTCTTGAAACTATCAAATTAAAATATTAAGTTATATGTTTAAAAAAATGGCGTTTTAGAATCGTTCCCAATGTTGTAAATATAAAACATTACAGTTTTTTTTTTTTTAATTAATTACCAAAGAAAACTATATGCGAATTAAAAACGAAAGTTTCATCATTTACTTATAATTGATTTAAGTGACCGTTATAACCTAAAAATATAATTCTAAAGGTACAATAGTTATGGATCCTCTACAACTGTCATTTACTTGACATTTTTAAATTTTATCACAATAACATATAAAGTTTAATGAACACTTTCACAGCTGATGATTTGGCAACTGCTTATTTCATCCTATCTGTAATCATGTGCAATGATAAAAATAACGTTACAAAAAACGTTATACTGGTATAATATATACGATTTTCACAACTATTATTTTATTTCCATTTAATTTTTTTCGTAACAAATTGCCGTCACCGTATATAAAAACATTATATTGAACGGACAATTTTTTTTATATTTTTTTAGGAGTATACACAAAGCTTTATAATTATGACAGATTATTCAAGTTGTATTTACACAATATAAAATTTATACATTTAAAAGAACACTATTAGAAGTATGGAAATATTTTTACAATAAAAAAGAAAGAAATAATATTTATCGAGACTATTATTTCTATAATTAGTCACTAAAATTAATTTTAATATCATCAGTTTGAGTTGGAAGTCATTTCAGTTCAATTTGGCAATATTACATTCGAAAGTGAGGAACTGATTTTAGTTTAAAAAATATTTGTAACAAGACTTTTATACGTCATCTTTATTTATAAAGAGCCGTAAGAACCAAAATGACCCCCGGTCTAATTAAGAGTGCAAAAGTATGTTTATGGACATATGACATTTTATATACAAACGAATATTCGTGGATATATATTCAAGAAAAAAGAATTTATAGACTTGAGCACATAAATAGATGTAATTTAGTTTTATTATAACTATTGACAACCGTATTACAAATATGGTTATAAATATTGTAATACATTTTTTTTTCACACTTAGGTGTATGAAAAATTCATATAAAATGTCATATGTCATTAGGTACGTTGATATTACTATTTCTTAATTATTATCAGTCTAATTAGGCACTTAGCATCCTCCTTTGAAAATCCTTTTTACATCGACTAACGACCAAAGACAACAAAATCACAACTGTTATTTTTTTAATTCATGGATGAGACTTCTTTTTTACTTTTAGGTAGGTGTTAAATTACAGCATATTCTGAACACACGTGTAACATTTTAAGTTTTTAATATATATTTTTTCCATCATTACCTTTTAATTATAGGTAACTGCAGCTCTCATATAATACCAATAACCGCAAAGGAGCGGTCTGTATGTTATCTTGATGATTGTCACAATCATAAAACGCAGTCAGTTAAATTTTGTGGTTCTTTAACTATGTTTAATCTACTGAATAATTAACAAAGAGTATTAAGCCTGCATTTTATATCTTTTTTTTTTATTGATTATGATGAATTGTTAAATAAAATAGTTACTGTAAAATTATATACTAAATGCGTGTGAAAAAATCATATTTTTTACAGTAGTTACAAAGACAAAATTTACTTCGTATTTTTTTTTTATTGCTGTAAATATTGTAATAACCGTTTTTTATTCCAGAATCCGCTCAGAAATATTTCAAGTGTTTTTTTTTTTTTTAATATTGGTCCATTAAGTCGGATATTAGTTTGTGGAAGTTCAACAAAATATTAAAAGGTTTAGGTTATTAAGTTTTCAAAGTTGGAATTAGAAAAAAAAATACTCTCATCGTCAAAGTCTCCTTCAAAATCTGTATCCAAGCTGTAATTAATATAAAAACTATTGGAAGAGGACTATGTTTCATATGTATCATTGTCATATAAATATTTAATTAAACTTACAAATTATTTGACTTTGAAATTTAACAGTCAGTTTTTGTGACTGTCATGTCCCCTTGAGGGGTAAATAACATAAGACTGGCAACATCAGAATTTACCAATAGTGATTAAAAGTAATAGTGAATAAAAATACTGAATAGACATTAAATTGAAATACTAAAATTTTAAAACTTAATGGTGTAAACATATTTAAATGCTTACAAAGCAAAAAATGAATGACATACCAAATTATAAAGGTTATAATGTGCAACATATTTTACTGTTTTAGGGAAAAAGAAAAAGAGAATTTTTGAATAATTCCAGAATTGTTGTCAGACTTCAATATTAACACTTATAATTATATTACCACCACGACCACGCCATGGCGTCATATATATGATATCTGGAGACTTAAAAAAAGGCCTAATACTTCCTGTTAATAGTTACGAAAACAAAAGGGCATACTAACATAAACTGCCAAAAATACAACCCTTTTAATTTTCTGTAGTAATGTTATCCCCATTACCATTCACAATCAATCAACATGTCATGTAACAGGAGTTTTATCTACTTTACTGGTTTCGACTAACTTACTATCTGTTATAATTTGCATGCATTTCAAATCTTCATTAGATATTTCAATTATACTACTACCTGTAATTTCCACTTCCTTACTCAAACTTAAATCTTCTATAGGCCCATTTTCTTCCTCCGTTTTCTTTCTTTGTTCCTCCTCCTCCTTCTGCTTCCTTTTCTCTTCTTCTTCTCTCTGCTTCTTTTCTGCCGCTTCCAATCTCTTTTGCTTGTTCCACCACGGCATAAACCGTTGGAACATTACTCTAGAACGGTGTTGGGGCTTAAGGACCCATGATAACGCCATGTCAGCATCTGCGATCCTAAAATTGAAATTTATTTAAATGAATAACCAAACCATATTTGAACTCTATTTAATGTAAGAACATTGTGATATTCTCATTAAATGTATTTTCTCAAAATGTACTTGTTTTGTTCTCTCGTTACTATTGATGTGATTATTTTTTTTAGGAACTTGCAATAGGCAAGACAAATTACATGGAACTGTAATATTAAGTACTAACTGACACTCCACATCTCATTATCATCACACAAGCCTAGAACATAGCGGAACATCACCAGAGAGAGATGTTTCAAAAGTCGTTGTTGTTGTTTCTAGCGTGAAGTAGTTATGTTTGCATGACTGTGTTTCAATTTGAAGGGTGGGATATGGCAGTATATATACAGGGTACAGAGGAATAACACCTGAATCCTCAGGAATGGCAAAACATTAGGGGTATCAAGGGCGAAACAGTATACTCTGTTATGTCCATGGTACTTACTGTTCATGTCTATAGACGATGGTTGTTACCACTTTCTATCAGGTGGGCAGTTAGCTTGTTTGCCATTCTAAGTTGTATAAAAAAATAACAGGATAGCTGAGGCGATGGCGCCATATCACAGCCGTTGCCAAGCCGGATAGGCAAGATATTTACAATGACGACTTGATTAGGGTACAAATAATGTAGGCTGCAGCAAAATTTGGTCGATGCTTACCTTCTTTTAAACCTCTCCCGGTCTATTGCGAATCTTTCCCAGTGACCTGGACGAGCTAGCCGAGCTGCGAATGCCCAAACCCTCATAACGAAGACCTTGGGTGGTTTTTCTGAGAAGTGGACCTGGAGACAAGAACAGAAATATTAAGTTATAGATTCCGTAAAACTATGTTAATATAAGAAACTAAGGCACTTGGGGAATCTGTTTCAATAAATATTGATACATTCAACTCTATGTGACAAAATACGATATAGATCTGTTTATCTTTATGATAGTATGACAATAACATGATGGAAAACAAAACAAACGAAGCATGCAAAAGTAATAAGGAACAATAGCCTTTTATATATTAGAATAGAAGATAATACTGTGTACAGTAATGAGAGATAAAGTCTGCCCTAACGACTAATGATCAGTGTAATTATAACATAATTAGATGCCATTCAACATGAACATTTGTGTGTACAAATTTTTAATTCAAGTATTCATGTTGTTATGCTGAGGTTTGATTCTTGAGCACATATATCTCAACTGCAGTTGAAATTGCGAAATAAATTTGAAATGAATGGATGGAAAAGTATAAAACATAAAACTATTGTCAAAAATCATTGTGTTATTTTTAATAACTTGGTCATTAGACATCATATATAAAATCAAAGGAACTGTATTATTAATAAACGGTTCACACGACCTAAATAGGATCTTTGAACTACGTGTACATCGAAATGTGTGACGCATTGGCACGTCACTATGATACCGAATGAGTCATTGTTTTGGCATACGTAATCAACAGTTTATCTTGTGAATTCGGAATTAACGTGTGACGTGCCTATTCATATGTTTTCACAGTTTATATATAAACAAAATTTGTTTACGCACACTTTTGTTAGCAAATAAACAAGGATTAAAATATTTAATAACAAATATTGAAATATAAATTAATACTCATTAATTCATGTCAAATAATTATGTCATATATGTGGTTTCTCATGCCAGATTCCCTAATCCGCCTGGCCTCTATCTACATACATCTGTATTCCTTACTTCATGAATGTGGTGAAGTAGATACTATTAAATATTCTGTGCCCGATTAGGTCCCATCTACGCACGCCAATACTGAAGATTTTACAAATAATTATAAAATATAGGTATGACAGTCATAAGGTGGATGACATATAAAAATTACATGAGAAAACATAAAAAAATATTATGGACATCCAATTTCGAACTGTAACATTCACCATGTCTGTAACACTACGGAATGCAGTAAAGATAATGAATATTGATTCTCTACACCGTCGTTCTTCGTAGATAAAAAAAAAACAGTGCTTTTCAATGTCTGATAGCGCGATCCTCAAACATCTAATAAGTGCTGTAGGTAATTGCAATCTATTTCAATATTTTTACAAAGCTTACACCACAATGAAACATTGAAAATCATATTATGTGTCATAGCGCCTACACTGGTCCTATTAGACGAAATTATATATCATAGTGCTTACATTGGCCCTATTAGACAAAGTATATATAGGCTCAAATACTAATGGAATATGAAAGCAATCTTGGTATATTTTGTTATCGAAACATCAATGCATAAAACAAACAAATATATAAAGTAAAAAGAGTTGAATTATTGCAAATTATTGTCTAGCATATATTTTCGTAATTTATTTTAAAATTATAAATTTCGAAAAAAAAAAACGGATATCCGAAGAGTGTTCACGTTCAGTTCATGCTTGAATCAGACCTATTAATCGTATCGACCAATCGTGAATTTTCCCTTTAAAATTGTATAAAATCAAAACATCCCTTATATATAACAGTTATAAAAAATAAATTCCTTTATTTTTATTAGGAACATTACTACCTAGTGACAAAGTAAACCCTGACAGGTAATTTTACCTGTCCAACGTTACTTTCGGAGTAAAAGTTAAAACTTTTACTCCGAGGTAACGTTACACCAGCTTACTCATTTTTTCCGTGCTTATTAATACAAAAATTGTATATTATCGATTTGTTGTCTGGTTTTACTCTATGATTATAATAGAGGAGATACTCAATGAAGACTCGGGCAATTACGATTGTCTAGCTGGCACACATTGTTCAGTCCAACGACAACTTAAAAAATCAGTAACAACTGTATTGCCTTTATAAATGTCTGTTGTTAATATATATTTTCACTTTCATAATAGCTACTGCACGCAACTTCATTTGCGTGTAATTCATGGTTACACGACGAATGTACATGCTGTTGTCTATGCATGTTTCGGTAGGTCGATATAAAAAAAAAGTTAAATAGAGGAATAATTTATAAAAAGAATTTAAATAAGAAATAAAGTATTGTTCTTATTGTTAATCATTGCTATTCTAATGGTTACTAACTAAGACAACAGAATAGCAAATATATTAATATATTCCCATCGAAATTCTATTTACATTATACTTTTTTTAAAGTGTAGGATAAATTGACTAACTTTTTATTTAAGAACTATCGGAAAAACAAACATCTATACAATATTGTTTATCTTGATTATTTGCGGCATGATAAAAAAAACTATAACAAGAGCTAAATAATTTTAAATGCTGACAGTCTTGGCTGAATTCCAGTTGATTTCCTTTGCATCAAGGTTAAGATTACATTGAAAAGTGTTAATAAAAACTATATTCCGTCATTGACATGTTTGTCCCAACCAACACCAAACCATAGCCTAAACAACAGAATCAGACAGAATCCTCAATCTTCAGGAATGACAACGCAATTAGGAATGGTGTCAGAAGCGTAATGGTGTATTATGGGACGTCATTCATGTTTATATCTCTATAGTCTACACGAATATGTTACCATTTTTATTCCGGAGGTCTGCCAGTTCCTGGTAATGTAAAAAAAAAAAAAGAAAAAAAATACAAATCAAGGCCATCGCAAGTTTTTCAAGTATTTCGTCATAACACTACTAATAATCACATTCACTGATATCATACTGACCACAGTCGTTGTGAAACAACTGATATGGTCAAGAATATACACGGCTGTACACTGAGTATTTATTCTAATAAATATACGCAATACGTTCATAGATTCAAATATGCGTCACAAATTTGCGCGCACATTTTATACTATAAAAAAATAGTAAGCACCAAGTCCTGACTGTCAGCAAACAAACGAAAACCTTACAATACTTATTACTAAAAGAAAAACGACTCTTATTTTGACTCATTAATATGGGACCAGCACAATTGTATAATACTTTTTTAGATAAAAGTCAAACATATCATAGCAATTATTTTATATTGTCCGAGTAACGTGTACATAAAATAATAATCAAATTCAGAAGCCCCTTCTGTAGTCGGTTAAAAACGCCTACAGAGCCTATTTAAATTGTACAAAGCGTTGTTTAACACCATTTTTTTAAAAACTAGAAATGGCAAACTTCTGTTGGCATCGTTCCCTACCCATAAACCAGAACCGTTACCTAGCCATGAACAACTTTTAAGTACTTTTTCATACTATTATGTTGGCAGTAATTCATATACTTAGAACGTTTCGTACTTTATAACATATATAACATTAATTAGAAATACTTTATCTACTGCACAACACAAACCTGCGTAATATCACGTAGTACCTATATGTTGCGTAATACATTGCTACAGTATTACTATGGTAACATTAAATTTATACGTTTTTTACATTTCTCTGTTTGCGTAATGTATGGTTTATCAAATTATACACAAGCAAATAAAAGAGTTTCAAACAAAAAAAAATCAATTAACTACGTCCCCGATAAATTGTATTTATTAGAAACGCCCGTTATGAAATACATAGATAAGATTAGTACGAATTTTGATTAAAAACTCTTTATCATAAGGGCACATTTTACTATCAAATGTATAGGACTATATTATCTAGATCAATCTGCAATTTAATATCAATACAAAGTTATGAAATATCGTGTATACTTTAGAAATATCAGTTTTCATTACTGCCCTATGTTTATCATTAATTTTTATCAGCGACTTCTCCTGCATGTCCGAAATATGTCGACTGTCCAGAATAAAAAGCAACTTATGTCCTTCTCATCTCAACACGTGTATAATAAATAGTTAAAGCGATTGGTCGAGCCATTAATACGCCAAGTAGTAACAAAGAAAATTATTTTAAAATTTATATTAGTAAGATTCTATAGTATGATAATAAATATTAGATAGTGTAGCAAGACCATTAGATATAGATTAAACAAGTAAACATAATATATATAATATATAAACATATGAAGGTACAGAAAGCAATAGGGCCATTGTTAGATAAACACAATATTATCAATATAATTAAGAACATAATTTTGTTTGCAATACAGTAATAATATGTTTAAAATGGTGATACGCTATCTTGACTAATTAAATATGCCCTTATTTGCATACAGATCATTAGTTTTACTAATACAAGTTAGTCAACGTATGAATGTACAGAAAGCAATAGGGCCTTTGTTAGATAAACACAATATTATCAATATAATTACGAACATAATTTTGTTTGCAATACAGTAATAATATGTTTGAAATGATGACACGCTATCTTCACTAATTAAATATGCCCTTATTTGCATGCTGTTCATTAATTTTACTAGTACAAGTTATTTTCCATAGGCCAGTGGTATTCAAAGCGTAAAAATACAGTAATAATATGTTTGAAATGATGACACGCTATCTTCACTAATTAAATATGCCCTTATTTGCATGCTGTTCATTAATTTTACTAGTACAAGTTATTTTCCATAGGCCAGTGGTATTCAAAGCGTTGGCCATGTTTTACAAGGTGTCATGAGTCTTAACAGCCGCTATATTTTAGGTTTCGTACAGAAATAATTAAAATGGAAGCTTCTGTCGATCCGTGTGTCAACTATGATAGTCTATGTGCACTTGGCTGTCACATCCTTGGTCAGTACAGTAAGATAATGCAATTAAAGGTCAGACAGTATAAGACATTCTATATACATATAATTTAGGATTAAGATTATTAAAGAGCAATAGAAGCCAAAACAATAAATTTTTAGAAGTTATGTCTATCCGTTTATCTGCCGATACATTTGTTTTGATATTACGGAAAAAGTACTGCATCAAATTG